TCAAACAAAAGTTAAAAGTGCAGATATGTTATTTATTTCATGCATTTTGATTAGACGTGGTGGTGTTCATAAAAACAGCCAACTAAATAATGATAGGGATAGAATAAATAAAAATAGAATGAAAATATTGTTTGTAAATAGTGGCTGAGAGTGTGGCAGAAAGAATGAGCTGCACAACAACTTTCGACTCTTCATCCAGTGCAAAGACATGAAACAAAATTTTTTATTTTTCTCGAAAGGTCATATTTAGGTTTCACAAAACCGATTTCTGAATATTTGAGTTGTATTTTTATTTGTATGAATACATGATACAAGAGAGTGAACATAACACTCATTGCCAATTTAGCAATTTTCTAGTAAATTAGATTTATCATTTTTCCTTTTTCGCTAAAAGTTATTTATTTATATTCTCACATCACAAAACATGAACAAACAATAACATTTACTCAATACCGTTGCTGAATGAGAATTATTTATTAGTTGCTAGCATGGTGGTACTATTTCTAAGAAACATCCTTCTATGCTGTTGTTCTTCTCTTTTAAGAAATGATTTTTTGACGTGTAGAATGCTGATTTAGTCCAAGTTATCAGTAAAATACACCACGATTTACATTCTACAGAACAGTAATGTACGCATATACCAAAACACACAGAATGGTATTTTTACATCGTTTATGACAGCATTTCAAGTGTCAATAGACATACCATATCTCGCATTACTGTCATGTCTATCAAAAAATTAGAACTATTTAATGTTCAGCAGCGTGCCATCCCATGGATTGTCTTTGGATTATCTTCATTTTTTCTTTGATCAGGGCATCTCAAGGTGGTGCACGAGACTTAGCAAATGTGGCGAATGCATACGGTGAGAATAGCAGAGTAGATGATGAAAATGATTATGTGTGGAGTACACATCATAACACACCAATAATGGGTAACATAGCGCGTATGACAGAATTAAAGAAAAGACATAACAATATGTTAGAAGGTAAAGCAAAATATAATAGGATATATTACGCATTATTATCTTTTGAAGATGCTTTTAGAGATTACAACTCTAATGAAGTAGAACAAATGCTTGGAAAATCACAAAATAACGAATCACTAAGATTGTACTTCACCGATCTAAGAAGTAAGATGTTGAAACTTGCACGAATATTTCGCAATTCGCATATTTTAGTGTTTAAACAAGCCATTCGAAAAGGAAAAAAACACGAAATAGCACGATTAAGCACGGAATGCGAGAAAATTATGAAAGAACAGCCAAGGTGCTATTACGTACAGAAGATGGATGAGATGCTGCATGAAATACTTCAAATGAACATTAAAACGGGTAAGTACGCATTTATACATGATCTTATGCATGTATTCGCTCGTCTTATCAGTACGAAGGAATGTGA